CAGCAGGGATGGGGCTCAGCGGGACCCTGCTGGAACCAGCCTGCGTGTCGCGCTCAGGAGATGGGAGTTAACTTTTACAGTCTTTCATTACTGCTGCTGCAAGGGCTGCACCATTTGAGGGCTCGGCCTTGAAATTGCACATTTTAAGAAATTCCCTGTTTCACAAGGAGGAATAAAAGAATACTCAAAGGTGGAAGGGAGGATACCTCATTCGATCGGTCAAAGGTTTGGTGCTTTTTTTTTTCTTGCTAGTTTTCTAACCTAGAGTTCCACCAGTTAGCTTTTGTCCAGGTAAATTTCAAATACCCCAGTTTAGAATTAATACTTACGTATGGCTTTAATATGGAAAAAAAAGTCAGTTTTTCTCATGATGGTTTAACATTTAGCTTAACAGCTAAATGAGACCGTTATAAAAGTTATTGGCAACAAAATACAAATATATAAGCATGCAGCCCTTTATTTTTGTAAAGATCTTTGCTTATCATAATTCTGTATATTACATTATGTTGTTATACAAATAAATTTATTTACAAAACCATGAACTATGCAAGATTCTTGCTTTTTTTTTCCTGTTTGACATCCATCTTTATCAATCACCCCCTCCCTATATATATTTTTAAGCATGCATAAAAATTAACTTTGGTGTGGTAAAACTACTCTATGTGCCCAGCCACATACAGTATTTATTTATTTATATATATTTATAGATATGTACAAAAGTTTGCCAGTATACAGAACAGTACAGAAGTGTACATTTTAAAATCCACAATGCAATACATTAATAGGTTTCCAGGTCTCAGTAGAATAAAACTGAAGGAGAAAGGATGGATTTAGCTAAGAAAAAAAAGTAATCCGCAACTACCTATATGTGTAAAACAATTTTTTTTTTTTTCTTGGCTGGCAAATTCTTAAATATAATCAGAATGGCAGTGCAATAGGTTGAGTTGCCTCATACACACTAAGACCAGTCTTGTTCTGTTTCTTGTGTAGAGGTTTACTGTCCAGCATACTACTTTCAAATGTACATTACAATAGTATCAAAATGTTTTGGCAAAAAGATCTTGAAAGGAACCATGACATTTGTTGACAAAAATAGAAATCTGTAACAAAGCTAAATAACACCAAAATAAAAGAAAAATATTTTAGTTTCAGTTTTACAGTTGTGTATATCTCTGTTCACTTCTAGTCCCCATAATGAAAAATAGCTTTATACAAAACAACTTACTAAACTTTTAACCATACGTTTTCCCATGCTCGGTGCACACCGCTGTGCGCACGCAGTCAAGTTCACTCACACACCTTCACGCTTTTTTGTACGGGGTGCTGTCTATAGAAAGAAAACACTCTTTTATCATTACAACAGCAACAGAGTTTTACAAAAAAGCTCCACTCTAATCTAGTGTAATAATCAGTATTCAGCACGTGATTAGTGTTAAGCCTCCAGCAATACAGCAAAATGGTTACGTTCCCTGGCTAAAATATTGGCTGCGGATTCTATGAAAACGAGCGCAAAGCCTCGGTGACCTTGCCCGCGTGCGGTGCCGAGCCTTTAGGATGGCTCCTTGGCCGTGGATGGGGTGGACTTGCTGGCATTCCCGTTCTGTGCCTTGTAGCTGGTGAAGCTAGGTGTGTGGATTGTCCTGATGCTCTTCACACCTTGGTTCAGTGAAGTGGGAGAGGTAGAGGAGGGAGGGGAGGTAGAGGAGGAAGGAGGGGGCGACCGGCCGTTTTGAGTCTGGAGTGAGAAGGAGAGGTGGTGACCTTTCCCTGGGTAAGTGGGGCTCTGGAACTTGGAGGAGCCATTAGAGACAGAGGGGATGAGGGAGGTGGAGTAAGTGATGCGACCTGTCTGAGGACCGAGAAGGTTAGAGGAAGGAAGGGAGGTTTTAGTGGGTGGATTAAGAGGGCTAGAGCTGTCACCACTAGAAGCAGGTGCTGAGCTGCTTTTCCCAGAAGTGGGAGAAAAGGCTGGGATCTTAGAAGCAGGTAGGGTAGGGGAAGTAGCCTTATAGTCCCCACCAGCTTTCTTAGCACTTCCATTAGCCTGCAAATAAAGACGGCAGGAGACAGTTTGTCAGAAAGCCAGTAACAAGATAAACCAACAGGACCTGGGGGAATAGCCCTATGGAGAATAAGGATTAACAGTTCGAGGCCTGAGCTAAGTCTTGCAGCCATGGACTGGACCTCGTAGAAAACCCAAAGTGCATAGAAAGAGAGAAAGAGCCAACAAAGCTTTTGTGAGGAGGCAAGATCTAGGGGTTATAGACTAGGCACTACGTTGGCCATGCTGCTGGGTTATTAACGTGTGAAGAGACATATCCGGCCGGAGAGTTAAATGTGCATCTACCGCCATCTATTACACGCACGGGTTAGTGTCCAAGGCTTCCCGTAAAGACTCTCTGAACAGAAGCATTCCCAGCTCTCCTAAGGAACTGCCACATTTACCAAAGGGAAAGTAAACAGGTAGTTGACATCTCAAAATTACAGCTGAATACCACAGTTTTAAAAAAAAACAACAAATCAAAACCAAAACAAATGAACAAGAAAAACCAAACCAAAAACCAGAAACAAAAAAAAAGGAAAAAAATAAGCAGCAGGTGTTTTATTGCAGACATGCATGCACAAGCATGGTGAAAAGATCAGTAGATACTGTCATGCCCCCAGGATCCAGGACGTCCAGTTAGACCTCACTTGAAAGTCAGGTATCCGTTATTTGGCATAATCTCAGTCAGTTACTGGAGTTTTTAAATAAACAAACAACATGAAATGTCCATCCAAACACCGGGTTTAGGGTAAAACTACCTGTCTGTATTGGCGTTGATCCTGCAGCTTGTGCTGTTTGCCTGCTTTCTCTGTGCTTCCTTGTCTAGTTTTTGAAGCCATGGGCACAGGCATCCGGCTGGTCTGGGAGGCGGTGGTGGAGCCCTGTGGAAATGAGCGGAGGGACAGGGAGGGAGACAAGGAGGAGGCGCGATCAGTACCGGTGTGCTTGAAGAGGAGTCTGCACGCCATGCGCCAAAAAAACCCATAAGCCACAGTACTACATGCAGGGAAAGTTCAAGAGCTTTCACACCGCAGGTGTTAATTTCCAGAATCAAACGGAGGAAACTGCTCAGCTACTGATCAGCCTGGATTTCATGTCAGTGGTGCTTGTCATTTCACACAGCGGATTATTCGACCCAGCTCCCCTGCATTTGCCCGTCACCAATCAGCAGCAAAGATTTAAAAAAAAAAAAACCAACAACAAACAAACCCCAACCCAATGGTCTATTAGCTGTTAGACACCTCGTGGGGATCCCAAACAAGCCACCTGAAAGGAAGCAAACAAATCACAAGACCCTCTTGTTTAATGGTGATTATTGCAGATTTTAGAAAGCAGCTGGAGGTTTGATTTCTCGGACTAAGGTACCTTACGTGAAGTGGCTGGCACTGGCGGAGGGGGCTCTACGCCAGCAAGGCTCTCATCCAGCACTACAAGCTCTCGGGGTGGGGTCTCTGGTACTATCTGGGCAGAGAAGGGGACAGTGCTTCCCTCAGAGCTGTATGTGTTTTCAGGGATAGATTTTGGACTCATTTCACTGATGGTGTTCTCCAGCTGCTTTATAGTCTGCTCAAGGCTGTCTAGTGTTCGGTATGTACTCTGTCGAATCTCATCAGTCCTAGACAGGGCCACTGCAGCTCCGGGGGGTCCTTCTTGCTTCCCAGAAGGACTTTTGTCACTGTCCTCAGGCTGAGACCTGGTGATTTCAAATCTTTTTGCTTCCTTGTGCTGCTTCAGGGTCCCATCTTCCTCTTCTTCTTCATAGACCACAACCTGCAAGGTCTTCTTCCCAGTCTTGGTTCCTGTTCGTATTGCTTGCGTCAGAGCAGCCAGCTGCTTTTTAGGGAATTTGAACTTAAATTTTTTCTTAGAATCCTGCCTGCTTCCAAACTGATCAGCAGAATCCAAATTTGCTTCTGTGTTTAGCCCATAGATCTGACGGTATTTGTTAAAATCCATCTTTGCGCTTTCCTCCTGTGCAGAGGATCTGGTTTCTAGAGGGTCAGAGGAAGACTGAAGGTTAAATATGTACTGCTCGTTGAGATTGTGAGCTGCTGAATACTCCGTGATTGCTTTTCTGTCATTAGTTACTGGTGGCTCTTCCTTCTGGCTCTCAGAGATTTCACATGCTTCACTTTCTTCCTCCTCCTCTTCCTCTTCTATCTTTTCATCTGTCATCATTTTCTCCAGCTCCTCATCACATTCTTCAAAAATGGTAGAAAGCCGCTTATACGCTGACCTAATATCCATTGGTTCATCAAAAATGATGATGACGGGTTTTTTGTCCAGACACACCACGGGCTCCTCGCTGTCCGGGTTTTCTGGGGTAACCTTCTCTGACACCACGTCCTTCCTTGCATCAATGTTCACTGTTTGCACATCTCCACCTTTCCGGCTGACTATATCATGAACTTCCCCACTTGAGAGGACCTGGACAGCTGTTTTAGTAATCATGAAAGCGATATTTTCTGTGGGTGGATTGTCTTCGCTTGGAGAGCTAGCTGGAGAGTCTGTCTCTTCGATGCTGTTCATGCTCCCAGACACTTCGCGTCGCAGCACAACCTGGTTGTAGTTGACTGCAGAAGATCCTTGCTCCTGTGAGGAAGGTGGAGGCCCCGTAGCCTCCTGCGTGTGCCTCATGAGAGGGGCAACGCTGCTGACAGGGATGTGCTTGCCCGTGCTCTGCGAGGCTTCACCCTGTGGCAGGTCCTGCTGAGCATCTCGTGAGAGTCTGTAGTTTGGCTTTTGTTTTCCAGTTTCAGTAGCTAGAAAATGGGATCCTAAAGTATCTTGAGCCCCTCTTCGTTTGTCATCCTCTGGCAAACTGACACCAGACAGGTTTGTGCTCATGTTCTGAAGGTTTTTCTTAGAATAGTCTCTACTGTCTACAAATAAACCCTTGCTAAATGTAGTACTGTCATTCATTGAAATGCCAATTTTACTGTCAGCTGTGCTGGGTGAATCAGAACCCAATTCTTCTTCAGTTTTCCCTTCCCTCTTCTCTTTAGGATGGTCACTATCTGTGGGAGATCCTGTTGTAGCCCCATACACCTAAGGGGGAAAGTCGGATTACTTAGTTATTCAGGGCTGTTACCTTTACAGGTTTTTTGGTGTTCTTTTTTTCCCCCAAATTAATCATCATGTTCTCAGGGGAAGCGCAGACCTTGTGAACTCACCACTCTCTTTACTGCTGCGGAGGCATGTCTGAAGCTGTCATCTGATTCCTGTCTGTCTTCAGGGCAAAATTCCAAATTCTGGCAGAACAGCGCATGATGTTACTGCTCTGTGCTAAGCGTTTGGCCAGCACGGGTTGTTACCTAGGGCTCCTGTTTTAACAAGGCCTCCAGAATACGCAAAAGCACACTAAATACCGTATTTCCAACACAGCGCTACCTTGACCTGTATGCTTTCCAGCTAAAATCCCTAGTTTGTATAAAATTGAAAAGATTCATGGTATCTGATTAAGTTCTGCTGGGACACATCAAAGGGAGCCTGATGTGGAAGGGCTGAGAGCGGGGCGCTCACTCTCTCACCAGAGAGCCAAACGCAAGAGTCTGGCCAGCCTTGAATGGAAGTTTTGTACCAGTAAAAGCTGATTTTCAAATGACAGAATTTTGCTGCTTCTATTTTTGCTCACACCGGAGCAACACTGCTCCATCACAGTTAATATGATCACAGTCTGAGCGTTTCTAAATCCTTGCTGCACTTTAAAAGTACTTCTTTAAAATTCCCAGTGGTACTCTGAGGTGCCTGTGGAAGTCCAGAATGAAACTTCTGGCTACATTCATTCACAGAAACAACTCCAAACATCACAGAGAGATCATCCCCTAGCTCAAAGGTAGTATATCCCCAGCATCTCCCTTGGAGATGTTGTTCCATAATACCGGACTTTTCTTCCAGGCTTTGTTTGTTAAGTGCTAGTGACAGTTAAGGCTAAACACCAGTCATCAGGGTGAGGAAATGCCCTGAAGAGACATCTTGCCTATGAACGAGCAAGAGAGAAATCTATAGTCAAAATCCACCCCCCAAGAAGGAAGAGAATCTGGCCTCGAGAGCCTGAAGGCTGTGAGCCAAAAGCATTACTGCTGACATCGCTTGAGACTAGAAGCTGATTCCTAACACAGCGGAAGGACAGATTATATTTATATGAGCATTGAGACAGATGAACATCAGTCAGGAGAGTCGCTCTCCCAGCTAAGACGAATGAGTGACGGCACAGAAATCCACAAGCTGGCTAGTGCATACGCTCCCCATGCACACAGGCTCATGATGTATGGCTTCTACAGCTCGTGGTATTTTCTTATATACTGTCTGAGGATTTTACACAGAAAAAACTTTACCCAATCAAAACACAGGAGTGAGAAAGTCACTGATGGACCAGAGTCACGGTTCATCTCTACAAAGGCTTATTGGCAGTGAAAAGGCTGTGCAGCTGCTCAGCGGATACCTTGCCACCCCTCGTATTTCTAAATAAGGAGTAGCTGACACGAAACCAGCCCCAGCCAGCGAGGTATCGGTGGCCAGGCTGACACTGCCGGAGCTGGTATCAGAACAAAACACCAGGGCTGTGAGCACCTTGGGCCCAGACTGGACAAGTGGTTGGTGCCTCCTGGTCCCATTACGTGTCAGAGGTCCCACAATGAGCCAGGCCAATTAATGGCACTTATTGCCTGTGGTTACACTGACTCAGTGACTGAGTTCCCAGTTAGCTATATCTTTTTTAGCAAGTTCCACTTTTTTCCCCAAGCATTAGTGCAACATATGTCAGTTTTGGAATTGCTCCCTTTCTACTAAAAAAAAATAAAAACACAACAAAATTAACTTTCTCTAAGATTAGTTTATCATGACCATAAGGCTCCATATTTAAAGCAAATAAACACTCTGTCATGCCAAATGACAAAAGCAAAACTCATTAACCTTAATTTCCTGGACTCTATGTTATTCCAATAAATAGCAGTTTATGGCAATTACTTGGCAGGACCTTTCTAAGAAACATCTCTGCTACAGGATATCCAGTGTCTTGAGTGGTGACCCAAGTTTTCACGTAACAATATGATTTTATTCTGAACAAGTTCTAATGAGGAGGAATAGAGATACATTGATGCTTTTTTTTTTCTCTATAACCTTGTCATACATTTTGTAACAAAACGAATTTTCTGTTTTACTCATATCCATGAACTTGTACCCTCACCCAGCCAGGTGTTTGCAGCTTTAGACCAGAACTGCTGCTTAGGAAACTCCACGCCAAGTCATAGAATCATAGAATCATAGAATGGCCTAGGCTGGAAGGGACCTTAGAGATCATCTAGTCCAACCTCCCTGTTGTGGGCAGGGACGCCACCAAGTCCCAACATCCTGACCTGGCAGCAGTACCTTCTGCGGGTTGGGGAGGGCCAGGTATCGATTTTGATGCTAATAATATATCAGAGATCACCATCCAGCTATTGCCTTGCGCTTTACAGCTACAGACACAGCTCACCGTGTTTACGGCAGATGGGTTCTCTGCCTTAGGAACCCAGCAAAGTCATATTCTCTTGCCCTGCCTCAGTTTCTGTTAAATGAAGTTGAGGTGTCTCCTATAAACTCCTTGGGGCACTACTCACGATGCTACATAAGAAAAGGCATTACTGTTATTTCCAATGTGTCATACATACATAAAATGCATGACAAAGTTGAAATGCTTTGCTTAAGAGCTGTGTTTTCCTCGCTGCCGTACCCTCCTTCATTGCAGACTGGCATTTGGCTGACAAGTTGCCATGGCTGCACGACACGCCAAGCCCAGAAATGATTCAATTTGTTATACTCAGAGGTCTGCAAAGGCACAAATACTTTCTTCATCCCGCACACTGGCTTCCCACTAAGAGTCACCAGATCAACTGGCAACTCCAGTCTCGACACGACTGTGAAATGCACCCAAACTTGGCTATAGCCCCAGACACGTGGCAACTCTTCTAAGTCCCATGAGTGCAGAGTGAGTCTGGGGCATTAACTTTCAGAGTAAGGGCAAATTCAACCCCCCCACCTTGTCTCTGCCTTTCAATAAATTGAACAGATTTCTGACTATCTAATAACTATTTCTGGGATGAACACATGAAACAAAGCAGAAATTCTCTAAATTGGCTCTTGAGGAACCATTAATTCTCCTCAAGATAAGAGCAAGGCTTAGGAGAGATGTTTCACTATCCACTGCCAGAACAGCACTGGAAGGATGTCCTAAGGAGTATGAGCATCTCTTTGGCAGAAATTCACAGATCCTCTTTTACTTTTGATTTCACAGAATCATAAGACTTCATGCAACCATCATATAATTGCTGCTGAGACACATAATGTAGATTGATCCATATGAACTGTTCTGAGCCATAAAGAGATAAAAAGAAGGAAACCACTGGGCAGTGGTTGGTGGGGGTTAGAGAGGACAGGACACAAGATATAAGATTAGTTTTGAAGAAAAGAAGGTTATGCCAATACCGGGTGGCACGTTTACAAACGCCACTTGTTACCTTCTTTTCCTTGTGATGCATTAAAGTCCCAGGCTTTATGTCTTTAACATGTGTATCATTTCTGGACTGTTCAGCATGACTGTTTGAGTTTACATCCAAAAAAGAGCACTTCTGGAAAGCCTAGGAAATAAATACTGCAGGTTATCAGGAGACCAAGAGCTTTTACACAGAAATGTCTGGCGATGACCAACTACAAAGAGACCATTTGGTTTTAACATTCACAGCCTGACAATATTATCTACAAGCTCATGAGGTAATAGAGATTTTAGATTATCAGACTAAGAGAATTAGGGCAACCCCTCTGGTCTGCCAAGGCTGCACTCTAATTCATCTTGCTGACCTCAACATTCCCTGCAGGGAGATAAGCTTGATTTCTATTTTTACAGATGGGGAGATGAAGGCACACAGAGGTGCTGCAAACTACCCAAACTTCAGTAGGAAGCCTGCAACAAACTTCGGGTTTGCAACACTACCTGCTTCCTAATGGCCAACAATCATGCAAGAGCTACATAACTCCACTTCTCCCCACACAAAAACTGTTATTAAAACTTCAGACTCAAAGACACATCTTTGCCACAGTCTTCACTAACACTCCTAGTAGTGACAGTCCCAATACATGGACTCGTGGACCGCTGGCTTCCCACCACATGTAGCCCAGTGCATGGCTCAGACTTCTGAGCCTTTTATGTTGCTATCCTCTTTCCATTTCCTTTGGGTTCCAACTGGCTCTCAGATCAGCAGAGCAGAACTATCAGTGCCAGCCCTGCTGCAAGTGTGCATTGCCAGGATTTCTGCAGGTCTTCGCTGCCTTCAGTGCGATGAACAAGGAGGACTTCTCTGCCAGCCAGAGGAATGAGGGAGGAGTGCTTACAGGAGTCCAGCGTACCGTGACATGCAAGAAGATTACATTCTTATACCACATATTAGAGAAATTATTTAATTCCTGACAACTCTCATGAAATTAACAGCCCTGACTGCAGTTTAGAATCAGGTCTGATCTTCAAATATTGTAATCCCTATATGTATTGCATGTTCACACAATAACAGAGAAGTATCAATACTTAAAAAAAATCCAGTGCAAAAATCAAGGTGTAGAGTTTCTTCTGGTATTCTGTGCCACCCTATTTGTACGTGTTTATAGACCAGAGTACCTAAGACAACATGGACTATTAGAAAAACTAATCTCATTACTTGTAATACAGGATATAGACTTTCCCCACCTTACCCGTTTGTGAGACCAAGGTTGTCGTATTGAGTGATGCGTACCCTTTACAAAGGCATCCTCAAAGTCCTTCAGACTTTAAGTGACAAAGAATCTACTGTTTCCTTTGGTAATTTGTTTATTTATCACCTTTGATCTGAAATATCTATCACAGTGTCTAAACACAGTTTGTGCTTCAGCAGTTTGTTATTAATATACCTTTTTCTGCTAGCGTAAAGTGGTACTTCCCATGAAAGTACCCCACGTTGTACTCAAGTCTTTTCTGAACCTTCATATTCTTAACAGCCTTTCCAAATGAGATCCTTAAAGACAGATGCAACAGCTCAGTACTGATCTCACTGATGTTGTACACGGAGATAAAAACACTCTCTGTTCTCACATCTACATCGAAAGCAGACACTATCTTTGTGGCAACACCACTGACCTGGGAGCTCCTGTCAACTTGCTACTGCAACTCCTGTTTCTTTCCAAGACATGCAGTTGTGGTCTGGCCTATATTTTGTTGTTCTTCATGTGGAGTTTGTATTTCTGTGAATGTATTATGACCATTATGTGATTTCTATCATTCCCCGTTTCTCATACTTCACTGGTTTGAATTAAGCTGATTTAAACAGTAAAGGATTTTAAATGTATTTCCAGGCTGTTGATGAAAATACAGAATGATACTGGATTGTAGCTGATCCCTGTGGGACCAGACCATAAACAGCTGGATCAAGGGCAGCACTTTCAGAGTCAGACAGCTCTCAGTCATCCTGTGACAGGGGGTTTTTTTAATATACTCTGTGGTGGCAGATTTTTATCAGAATGTTGTATGATGTTTGATCAAATGGTTTACAAAAATGTTTACAGGTATACAATTCAGTTTAAGCAGTCAAACCTGTTACCTGATCAAAGAGTGTTGTTTGCTTTGACAGATCTGTGTTCCATTACGTTGTGTTTACTAGCATGACTATTTACATCTGTTCTTTAGTTCTTCTCTGATTGAACCCTATACTCGATTTTCCCCTGTTCTGTGGATATCAGACTAATGATCCTGTAGCTCCTGGATCAAGCAGTTTGACCTTTCTAAAACATGGTACTCGGTCAACCTTCTAAAACATACCTGGTATTTTGGTAAAGGTGTAAATTGAGCATTGCTCATCCCCAAAACTAGCATTTAAACACTCATTTCACAGGCCACCATGCCTATATCTCCTCCCTAGCTGTCCTCAGCCTCTGTTCCCACACCTTAACCTCCACTTCACTGTCCCCAGTTGCAAGGCAGCCAGGTTGCTTTCCTAGTGACAGGAGATGATGTGACAGTTGCACTGCCCCCATCTCTCCAGCCATTAGCACGCAAATGGGGGATAAGGGTAAAGCTCTGCTCTCACTCCCTGCCAACCACCTGTCCAAAGCACTGGTGGGTGGAAGCTGGGGAAAGGAGCAGGGTGGACCCACCACACATAACAGTTACTTCTTAAATATCCACATCTCCTGTGCTGCAAATTCTCCCTGGGCAGCATGAAATGGACCTTTTGGCAGGTGGACAGCAAGGATGACATCATGACAGTGCTCTGAAACACTCCAACATTAGAAGTTAAGTTGATTCACATCTCCTTTCCTCATGTGAGCATGGAAGAAGACAGAGGATGCCCCTTGGCAACTGGAGCTTGCTAATCATCACAGCATCACCATCCTTGAACTAAACTGGCCCGCATGCTATGAAGCAAAGGATCAGCAAGAGAGCATCGCTTCTGTGCCACTGGCAGAGTAAGGTACCAATTACACAACAGGGAACAGCAAATGTTTCAGTGTTCAAACATTCCAGGAAACAGTGGATCACAGCAGAGAACAAGTGAGTACAGCCCACCAAGAAAAGACCTCATATTCTCTGTTCCCACCAATGTTAACACAACTGACGGGCTCTCAGCACCTCGCCATTCTGACACCAAGTGAGAAACGCTAGGGCAGGGACAACCACACACTGATGTTTTACTTGTCCCATCCACGTACGTAAGATTTTCCAGCGGTAACTACTGCACTCTTGACCACCGTCTCAGCACCAGGCCTCTCGAATAAAATTTGAGTGGTGCTTACAAAACAGGTACTTCCCACTGCAATGAAGTGGGACTGGTGAGTCTGGCAGACCCACTTTCACTCATGTTCTGAATTAGAAATTGTGTTGAGGCCCTAAAAGTGATATCAGGCCCAGGTGTCTTCCTGTGCAACCCAAAAGGCATACCTGTAATTCTGCCATTATTTTATCTCCTTCCTCTTCCTCTTCCTCTTTTGCAGCTGATGCTGCAGCATGCCCTATGCTCCGAGACAATGCCTGGTCCTCTTTAGGGGCTTTAGATTGTGCTGTTTGCCCAGCATCTTCACTGCATTCCTACACGGGGATGAGAAAGCACAGACAGACAACATAGTTGAGCCCTCCTGATGCAAAGCAAATACAGAAAATTCAACACTACTGAGATTCCCCTGATGCCTCTTCCTTTTTAAGGAGACTACTACTTCATCAGTTCAAAAGCAAGCAATGCTGCCAATGTGATAGCATGTTCACGGATTTAAAAGCTTCTTAACTTGGACTTCCCCCCACTTCCTTCAGAGAACAGAACAGATAGGGAAAGGAAGCCCAAAGAAACTATTTTGCAACAATTCTGTAAAAATGTTCTCAAATCTGAGCTGATCTTCCCCATCTGTAAAAGGCATGCTTTTTTATTTTTAATCTTACTACCACTCTAAATGAAAACAGCCTGTGACTTGCCTTCTACATTGCTAAGAGCTACAAGACTCCTGTAAACAGAACTGATCAAACCTTACTTGTTCATTTGGCCTCACAGTAGTGTTTCCTGGTAAGCAGCTTCAGAAGCTCTCCAGGACATATCTCTGTCTCAACTCATTTTGTGGTTTATAGACACAGCCCAAGCCTGGGAATGTTTCTCTGTCAGCCACTCATCAACAGTGTGATTGCCTACAGTCTGAATCATCAAACCTTGACAGCAGCAGCCTCTTTTCTGGCTGCATAGATGACATCTCCTGATCTCGTTGTGGTTAGTCCTGACCCTGGCAGGTAACTGCGCCGTGGAGGTGGAGGAGGTGGAGACTTGGTCAGCTTGTCATTATCCTGTTCTCCATCAGGAACTTCTTCTGGAAGTAAACAGAGCAGCACAAGGTGAGTATGGGTGAAGGAGGGGAAAAAGTATTTGCATCCCTGCCTCAATGGAAAAGAAAAAATGTCTTAAAAGGTCCTGCAGCTGAATATGTATTAATAGAAGCACATTTGGCTTTCAAGTGGAACCACCTCACATGAAAGTGCTGCACTTGCACGGAGAAACTGGATTATATCACCTAGAAATTTTCAGCCAAGTGCCCATCCTCCATAACATTGTGTTTCAGTTTCAGCCCCTGGTGCACAAGTGTGATAGCAGAGCACACATCTATAAATCAAGCACTCGTGAAGAAGCATGTAATGTGCAGGTTCAGTGGGGTTCCTGGTTACAGACAGAGCCCCAGTCTCCTTTGAAAGCATGGCCACTGATGTGGACTCTAGCAGGACACCAAACCTGGAGGCTTCCTGTTGTTCTCACCAATTCTGAAGCAACCAGCACACATTTCTTCTGCCCAGGAGGTGCTGCCAGCAAGGTGCTAGATGAGGAGCTGAAGAGTTTTGTCCCTCTTAAAGTTGGACAAAACTAGCTAAGTTCAGACAAAGGCTGAGAGGGAAAACGTAAACCCTGCTCTAGAGATGCCACCTCTGCAGTTCAATGAGTCCTCTCACCCCAGCATCAGGGGCAACTGCACTCACTCCTCTTCTAAGACAGCATTTATTTTCACTTTACTTACTAATAACTATTCTAGGAATGCACAGTTTTGCCTTTCAATTATCATGTAAGAGCTCTATATGTATTTTGCTAACCCACAAAGATTCAAATAGCGAACACAACAGCTGAGCAGAGCCAGCCCCTGCTTTCTTCCAAGAGATCAGTTTCTCAGACTGGCATTCTCCTCCACGATGCTTCTTCACTCAGCTGCTGCCTCCTCTTCCCCACTGTCACTGGGTGGCATTTTTTCCAGAAGCAGCACTGCCCTGCTTGTGACCTGTCCCTGTGTGGTTTTGGCCACAGGCTAAGTATAATACATGGCTACAGCCACCATTTTCACACTGTTGTTTACAATGATTTTTTCCAAAAGTGAGACAACGACCTTTCTGCAGCTACTCAGCATTATATAAACAGCTGGAATAAATATAACCCAGAAAGATAAAACCTCCCGCTTTTAGGATTATCCAGCTGTTTAGCGCTAAGTGTTCCCTCTGGGCAAGTTATTGCATAACTGCCCGCTTCGTGGGGCTGTGTCAGGCTCCTCCAATGTGCCAGCTGACCCCTGGGGCTGGATGGAGTCCTTGTCTGACCTGGCCTCATCTTTGTTCCCTTCTTAGCAGAAATGTTCTTTGAAGCTGCTTAAGTTTAAAAAAATGCTTTGTTGTATTATCTCCCTCCCTGGTTACCTGATGCTCGCAGGATTGCAAGGAGAGTGAATTTCCAGATGCTCTTTAGATTAGACCAGTTCTTGGTCAATACACACCACTCAGTTTTTTAGTGATATCAAAGGTAGTTCTATCAGCCTGAAGTAAGATCTGCTACTGTAAAACCAGAGTAACTCTCAATGATGGTGTTTAATGTAGGACCTGTGCAAATCCCTACTCCTTTTAGCGGGCTCAACCCTGAAACTGGCAGCAGCTCTAACCGCAAGAACACCAAAGTTTTTCTTACATTTAAAAAGAGCAAGGCTGGACGAGACACATGGAAGGCATAAAGAGAGAATGATTCCTACCATCTCTCTCATGTCTGTGAGATATTCATCCATCTCCTTCTTCAAAGCAGGAAATAAAAAGGAGAAACACAGCCAAGAGAAATGTCAGTGAGTGTGGCAGGTGCACAGGCAATTGAAGGCTAATCCTCCTCACACCCCTTAGCTGGAGTTATTAAGGAGAGGTTGTGCTGGGATGTGCTGGGATGTGCAATGACACTGGGCAAGACATAAAACTTCAAATCTGGGTTTCTGTTTTCTTTAATAAACTATTAAGTTTCTCCAATCTAAATGAGAAGTAAAAATAAAAAAAAACATCTTTGGAGGGGAAAAAATAAGGAAAAGATCTTATTCTAACACTTTTTTTTTGTTTTCCCATGGCTGAGTTCTGCTAGAGAGGAGTAAATGGGCAGGTACAACTCACTAAGTCTGATACTATCCATGAACAAAACCATTACTTTATGGAGCCCTCTTTGGTGCCAGCACTTCTGTGAACAACATGGTTTATTGCCAGCCATTTCAGTGAACTGAAGTATTCTCCAACAGGCACAGACAGACTCAAATTAATTTCTCCCACCATACAAATTTCTACTTGTACCAAAAAAATCCAACATGTCTTTAAAAGATCTCAAAATAATAATGCCTGCCTTGAGGCAGCCTCCATAGACAAGCAAAACGTCTTTAACGGAAGTTACCGATCACTCAGCACTTGCAAAAATCAGGACATTCTCACATATGAAGGCACAAAGAGAGATGAGGTAGCCCAAATTCTAGTGCACATGCTAGAGACATTCCCCACATTTTTCACTGAACAAGCTTGATAACAAAGACGAGTTATCATCAAGACATTAAAGAAGTATTTAGAGTCACCTGCAAGATCATGTAAAGTGTGCATCATGCTTTGTTTTGTGCTTTGCAGGAGGAAAAAAGAGTTTCTTAATTTGGTTCTTTGTGGAGAATGGCCAAGACAACATATTCTGGCAATGTGATCTATCTGGGTTCTGCAGCAAAGCCAACAGAGGAGGATTCTGCTAATTTATGGCCAAAATGTCTTATCCACTATATTAGTAGGTAGGTGGCTCCTCTTGCCTTATGTTGCTCAGTTTTCTAGTTTACAGCAGATATGGAAATTTTCATCTTGAATCATAGAAGAGTTTAGTGGCATGTGAGATTTAATCAGATACTAAGGAAAAATTTTGCTGTGCCCTTATTTATGTTACTATTACAGGATCCATTATGGACAGCAGAAGGCAAATGTCTCAGTCTCATAAATTTCCCCTTTTAATTTGCTGGCTACACAGTGTACAAAACTGTATTCTAGAAGTGGATTAGTTAACTACGTGAGTTACAAAACTTCTGTGTTCCTGTGCTCTGCACTTTTTAAGATGTCACAGCTCACTGCACTCATATAGTATTTATTTTCACTTACTTTTTCTATTTATGCTACACAATATACCAGATAATTGTGCCGATAGCCAGTAACCTCACTGAACAGTGCCAGAATTCTAAAATTATTTTACAAGGTTCAACAGAATGTATTTTAATCATGTATGTTGTGACATATTCAAGAAGCCACAACTTGTCAGTGTTAAAGGTGTTCCCAGAACAAAATGCTGGATCTGAAAACACTACACCCAATTTCATATGATTTGTCTACACAAGCCCCAGTGCCTTGTTCTGCAGCAATTTACAGCCCTGGCATGCCAATACCCTGAGTGCAGCATGCAGCTCTGCTCTCCACAGCTCCAGAAGGTCACGGTGCAGTTAAAGGGCAACTGAAACCAGCCTGGGGAGGGAGCAGCTGGCCTAGCTAGAGGGACCAGAAAGGCTTCAAGTTTGCAGTTTGGAGCTTGTGGGACAAGCTGAGACTGCCAGGATATGATCAAGGTTAATCCACTGCCTTCATGGTTCTATACAGGGAATGCAGAGCCGTTGTTTGCCAAATTGCAGAATATTAGAACTACGGGAAGCTCAGTGGAGCCAATATGAGATAAGTTTAAAATAGATAAGAAAAGCTCCTTCAAAGGATGTGGAGCTCACTGCCACAGCAGTGGGGATGCAAATGCTGTAAGCACACATGGAGGAATTTCTGGATGACATGTCCATAATAACAGATATGAATAGGGGGAGGTTGAGCTACTTCTTCTAATATCAACTAGGGGTGCTGGGGGAGTACTAGCAGACTGCAGAAGGTGGCCAGGGTCTGTGCTGCCCACAGGCAGTATCTCCCATTGCCTCTGTCAGAGCCAGACAGCTGAGCTGGATGGACTACTGCTTAATTGGCCTTGGTAAGAGTTCTGCAGCTGACTCATGTTCAGCCAATGAGCTAAATCCAAGGTTTGACTGAGACATATTCTTTGCTCCTTGAACTCAGAGGAAATTCAGACATGGATTTGTGTTTTAAATTGTGAAAGAAATAGGACTGGAAGGACACCCCATCAACTTGCCACCACAAAGTAGCTCCACCTATATAATTCTTGGAAAATGCTAATGAAAGCCATTCTTGCCAATGATGGGGATCTTACACCCTCCGCATTGCATCATACAGCCTTCTTCGGCGATTCACTTTCCTTGTCATTATGAGTTTTTTCCCCTAATATCTAGCCTGGTTCTTCCTGGCTGCAGCTGTCAACTTCTACTGCTGTTCTGTGCACACAAAGCAAGTTGGTCTTTTTTAAGCAGATCTTTGTGTATTCTGAGATTGCTTTGTCCTTCCTCAGCCATCACTTCCTTATGTTAAACAAAATAAATTCTTTCTTTTGTGTTCCCAAGATATCATGTTTTTTTAAAGCTCTGGTCATTATCATTATTGCCCTCTTGGCTCCCTTCTATTTGTCAGTAATCTCTGAATTTCAAAACACTGAGTTTGGAAATTTCAATGTAAGAGCTCATCACTACTGAGTAGATTCATCCATCTTGTAGATATTCCTGTTCATCTCATTATGATGTTGGCCTTTTTTTTTTTTTTTTTTTTTGCCACAGGGTAACAGTCTAACTAACATTCAACTTGAAACTCAGTAAATCTTTATCACAGCTGCGGACAGGCAGAATGCTTACTATGACAGTCACTCTCATTCACTCCGACGTATCTATCTGCTACCCCAAGACAACTCAGTTATGAAGCATCATAGGTAATTTTCAGACCTCTGAGGGACTCATCCAAAACATTGGTTGTATTTATGATGAAGTTAGCAAGGATCATTAAGATTAATCAATCTGACTTTCCACTTAATATAGGTTCAAGGATTTCTTTAAGCAGGACAGTTTTTGCCTGAGAAGCCTTCCAGAAAACAACATGGTATTGCTTTTTTTGAAGATTCGAGGTGGCAGAAAATCCTGTATGTTCATAATTAAACTTCAGTGACTAGTTTACTCTGCCTGTTAAAATCTGATGGCTAATTCTTAATCTGGCTTCTTCCAGCTTCAACTTTCAGTTGCTGGAACTTGTTGGAACATGCTCTGCAAAGTTAAAAGGCCTTCTCACCCTCAGAAACCTCAGGAATGTCTTGATCTTCTTCTGATAGCAAATACAACTACAAAAAGAGCTTTTCATGTTTCTGATGGTAAGATCATTTGTGCTCAAACATTTTGTGGTTCTTTCCAGAGCTTTCTGTAATGCTAAACTTATAAGTGCAAAACTGATCACTGTATTCTAGATACAGGTATAGTATAGAGATACTCTCATCTCTGTCAAAAGCAAGGTGTACTCTTACTCTCCGGCTCATGAGGAATCTTTATTTCCCGAGGACAAATTCACTCTCTCAGCTGCAATACAGGGAAATTCATGTTCAGCTGGTTTACCCACACAGGCATAGGCAAAATCCCTGTGTCCTATCCACAGGACCTGCATTATTCCTCAAGGACATACAGGTGTGATCAAGAACACAGAAATCTGTAAACTGAAGCCACCCCAGAAAGCAGGAAAATTAACTTCTCTTTTCCCAATATGCAATTCTTTAGCACCATTTACTTTAACAAACCTCACCTGAGACTTCTAGCTTTTCCACTGCATCCCCTTTAGGCAGGGCTGCTGGCTGGGGAGGCATCTCCAGGTTAGGAATTGACTTCATTATATTGGCCTGGGCCTCTTCCAAGAGCTTTTCAAATTCCTTTCCATTATAATGATCGAGGTTTTGTCTTTTCTCTTCCCATTTCTTTTCAGCTTTCTAGACAAAAACAGCAAAGCATGTATTTATTTATCTGATTTCTGTTGTGATAACTTTAAAAAAATCTATGTGTAAATATTGTAGGCCAATATGGAGAGATTCTTTCAGTTCTAGACAGCAACTAGAGGAAATTTATTAACACTAATTGTACACTGGTTCTGACTATGATTCTGCTAGATATGGCACAAGCACATGACAGAATGACAGTGGCCACTGCACAGTAAAGAAAAAAAGGTAAAATTCAAATATGGGTCACTACCTTACTATATCCCACTGGTGACTGAAGTGCATGTCTGTAATAAGAGTTCACTTGTGGGTTTTCTCAATATCTCTACATGTAACCACTGGAACTTCACACCCTTTCACTTTTACCTCTCCATAATGAGAGACAGAGAGATTTAAAGAGTAAATGAAATCCACTGATGCAAGTGTTGCCAGAGAATCATTTGATATTGTTAATGAATACTCTAAAAAGAATGAGTTTTTTAATAAAGGTTATTTAAAAACCACAGTTACTCCTTTTTGGTTACATGTTATAATCTTGTTGCATTTAAAATCAGAGGATATCTTCAGAAGTGCATGGTGTAGTTAGGGGTTAAGCATATAAACCCCAAGAATACATTTGAAAAATCTGACCTGCAGTCTCAAGAGGGAGACTGGAAGCTCAGACCCAAAGAGAACTGGCTGAGTAGAACACACCGTACCTCAATGGATACAGCTCGGTTTCTGGTACTTGCACTGTGAATTTCCTCAATGAAAAGACTTTGCATGGTGGTGCCATTGACAGAGACCTGTGGTGCTGGTGTGGCTTGTGTGGGCTGAGATCCAGTTGCGGGCTCTTGCGGTGGGGCTGGTGGGGGTGCTGAGAGGTGGCCACCCGCTGTCACGCCTTCGCCGTGGCTGGCTGCAGTGGGTGAACCCTGGCCATGGTTGACCAGGGCTGAGGAGTGCTGAGACTGATGGATGACAACAGGCGAGCTCTGCACATGATGGACCATCATTGTTGAGAAGGGGATGACTTCTGACTTGACCGACGACACCTGGGACTCCGATGTGACGGCTGTGAGGTTTTGCTGTGCACGTCCCTGGGTGTGCTTGGGCTCCTCCTGGTTTTTCAGAGCGTCAGCTGGAGCAGCCTTTTCCATAGCAGAGTATTGCACGGCTTGGGATGGATCCACACCCCGCAGCAGTCCTTCTGTAACATGTCTGCCCAGCCAGATTGAACACAGCAGCGTTAGCACACAAGTGATTCACGAGCAATACTTAACAAGACACTTCTGCAAAGGGAAAGCACCTGCATCAAAACCATCAAGGTGGTGTTTTTCCTTCCTCATGCTCTCAGTTGTGTGACTTTATAGCTTTCTCTCAGAGTTAGGAACTCAGAGGTTTAAAGAGGCCACTCTAATTAAGATGTTTTTGCCTTTCAAAATGTTTACAAACCTTCACCGATATACTGGCACTTTCTGAGCAAAGCTTAGGCTACAGTGGGTTCATTTCAGGGGGGGAATGGAAATCAGTTCATTTAAATTGTATACACTGTATCCAATTAAAAAAGATGTTCCTAGACTATTAGCACAGAAAGCAGTAGTTACATATAATTTGAGGTAGTAGTTTGGAAAATCGCCGAAACAAAACCTTCAAATGGTATTTCACAAAGTCTTTGCTTGCCAAGTGTTTGGGGTAGGATGAGCTGAGGATGTAAGAAGTCAGCTACTTCTGACAGCTAGCTGTGAAATGTCTGAGATTCAGCGTGTAGCTAGCTATCCAACGCCATCAGTTTTTCCATTGCCGAAACAGGCTTTACGAAGCTTAATACGTAAGTTCGCTGAAAAAAAATACTTTCGGTAAAAGTTTGGCACATGTATCTTATTGTTTTGCGGTGTTTTTTTCTTCCCAAATAGAGTGAGACAGGAAATAACTGTAGTCATTTTTAAGAAAAGGAAACTAATATGAAATGATAAAGATGTCTATTTACACAGAAAAATAAGTGATGGCTCTTGGAAGACCTGTTACATAAACCATTTTATCCATCTGCTAGTACTGGCAAATTCATTTTACATATGCTCCAGGATATATGGAAACAATGATAACCCTACATTCCTTAGAATAATGATAGCAACAACAGGCTTATGACTTACATTCTTCTTGTAATCGAAGTAAAATTGAGATCACCACCACTGACAGTGTGGCCTAATTCACTGGTTTCGAGTAAGAATTAAATCCAATGCCTATTGTCTCATATATATATATCAGTAGTCATTTGCTGCTCATATAGTCTGACAAATACAGCTAAACACTGGCACTTAGTGGACACAAATTTTAATCTTTCTATAACCCACCTTCCTTACAAAGAACAGAATAAAGAATTTGCATATTGAAAAATATTTCTTTCAGAAGGTTGAGGATATATTTATCCACTCAGAATGTTTTCCTTTTTTTATTTTTACTGTTACATGTTTGGGGGATGCACTTTTCAGTGTCAGAATATTTCTATTAGCTTAGATTGCTGTAGATTGACTACCGTTAATTAGCTCAGATATGGGACTGATGCCACTCTGTAAGCTTTCTCACCCAGGTACTTCTCAAATCTGAAAGCGCTGAGTTCAGAGGGAGCTAGTTTGAGTCAAAAGAGCTCGACAACTGGGCTGTTGGTCAGAACAGAACCACCACAGAGAGCACAGGAAAGGCTAATTCAATTTCCTTTGAGAGGGCTCAAGGAAGAATCTAGAAAATACTTCAGACAAGTTGTATTTCTCACAATTTCCTGGGGAGAGGGAGGGAACCCAAAGCCAAAAAGTGTTCCAGCCCTGCTTGAGGAAATTCTTTAGTTTAGTAGAGAGAAAATAAATAAAAATCACCTCCTGAGCATGGTAAGGACATCAGTCATGCTGCGCACACGTTTCAGCAAGCTGTCTAGCTTGTGTGGTTCTTCCTTTAGGAACCTCACAGCTTCTACCTCAATCCGGAGGATTGCACGCATCTTATTCTGCAATGTCGGGAACTCTCCTGCAAAGACAATAACTGTGAAGCTCAAGAGGAAATGACAAAAGCCCTAAGAAGAAACAGATGAGGGGGTGAAAGTTAAATAGTTGAGTGTCTCTCTTTCTCCTGGGGCCAGGCAAAAAGCTCCTTAATCCCAACTTTAAATCCTTTTGGAAGTGAAAGTTAATGCCCTCAGATCAAAGGCAAAACTGTTCTCAGCTACTGTGGGTGAAAGAAAAGATTGAAAAGTAAAAAGTAAATGTATATACCTTTCAGGGTGGCAACAGCTTCTCCCACTTGACGCAAAAGAAAGGCTCCATCTTCAACATCTTTCAGTGTAACTGTCTTGCTGGAAGCAGCAGAGTCCCTCTTCAGGTCTTCAACAAATTCCTCCAGCTCACTGGCAAAATAAAAAAAAATGGACATAAAACGTAAGCAGGACTTCCACGTTACAGTCGAATACGTGTAGATGAATTCACTAAACTACACCAGAAACCTCAGCTGTGGCATATTTAAATGTGACACCATAGGCTGAAAAACCAGCAGGGTACCATGAGGGGAGGTGGGGATGCTGGATGCTCATGCTCACAGCGCAGGAACAGGCTTGTAACCAGCCCAAGTTTCTCTGACAGGCTGCAGGTGTGCAGAGCACACTGACCTCAGGGCAGCTGCAGCAGGAAAGGCAGCTGGGGTGGTGAAACACATCTAACAGCCAGTCCTCTGGGACTGCACATCCAGGAAGGGTAGAGACACACTGTACTGCTACATCCAGTACTGGTTTGCAGCTTGTGTTTTCTCATTGCTGGTGACATGCAAAGGAATGCCCAATAGTACCGTAACAACCCAAAAAAACTGGCACTAACAGTCCCTTGATGCAACCTTGTTTATCTACTGGGTTCTGCGAGACAGGATAGAGGGTCCTGTTCCCACGAACAGCCAGACTGAAACAGCTCTCACTCAGCATTTGGAATCAAGAATGAATCACTTCAGATGTTCTTTCCAACCACTGCTGCCTCATGCTCCCACCAGCTCCATCTGGTGCTTCCTCATCATCTTTCCCAGTGATTCTTATAATGCTTCTGTACTTCACATAAACTTTATTTTTGTTTTGGGGGAAGCCACTTTTTTTATCTGTTTAATGCTGAGACCACATTGCTTTAGCTGGAGTTGCCAAACAAAAGCTTAAATATTTCTCAAAAAACCTGAAATGCATTATGCACAACTATACAAATAGCATGTGAATACCTTAAAAGAATCATCTCTTCAATATTCATTCTAAAAGAAATTCACCTCTATTAAGAAACCAAAAGTACTAGCAGGAATATTCTGATAAGCAGTTTAATTGAATGGTAGCAAACAATGCAAAGCTACTCATTTTAACCCAGTTTTGGGCCTAATTTCTTGCATCCACTCAGGTGGCAGTTTTGCAATTGCTCTGAGAGAACCAAAGTACGGGCTTATTGACTGAAAAAGGGTAGGGAAAAAAATGTCTTCTGCACCAGCTGCAGGTCTTGCATTTCCACGTGTTTCCCTTGTGCTAGCACTGCCATGCAAATCCAGCAAAAATTATTTTCAACCAGGTCATTTTCTAGATTCATTTCAGTGAACAGGGGATATGGAGAGGAAAAGAGAGGAGTAGGTGGCCAGTAATGGCATAAAAAGGAAAAAAATCCCTTGCAGCACCACTTTGCATTTAGGTCAATTTAACGTGGAAGCAGTCCCACAGAACAACAGATGGAAATGCAACAGTATGGCTGATATACAGAGAAAGAGAAATAGTGTCAGGATCCTAACATCAAATGCACATTTCAATTCGAAGACTAAGAACTTCAGAAACTATAAACCAATTTTAAATCAAGAATCATAACTTGCCTCTGAACTGATCACAAGCAACTAGCACAAGCAAAACTTGCAGGAAACAATCCACTGGACCACACGATGGCAGCAAGGGAACGTTTCTCAGGGTATTTTTTGCAGTGGAAGAGATTGCAATAATGCAGGTATCTGCTGTCTCTGTGTCTTTCTGCCTTTGCAACACAGAGCAGATACACTCTAGGAAGAAGCTAGAAAAAAGAATTCAGCTTTGTCACTTACTACAATGCAAAGGGTCCTGCCCTCCAGAACAGTGCTCTACCGTCATGCATCCGCCCTACTCTGAACGCCCTCACGGGGACACTCAGGTCAGGAAGTGCCGCTTTTGGATTCATAGGGTATCCCCTCTCCCTTTCTAGAAAAAAAACCCAAACAAATATAACAAACAAATAAAACCCCCCCCAGCTTCTCGGATATTTGCATCCACCAGGCAACAAAGAAGAAAAGGGCAGAAGTTTAAGTTTATTCATGGCTGGAAAGAAGAGAAAGGAATGAACACAGAACAATGTTACAAAGTTTCAGTGGGTTTATGATTGCTGGAAAGGTAGGGATAAAGGACAGACTTTCAGGTAGCTGATGATGGCTTTCTTTCCCCTTCGTTCTTTGAGCAGAATCAGAAGAGTCATCATAAACCCCTCCAATTCTGTGCATCAAACAAGACAGCAATTACTTACAGATACCATATTACACTGCCTCACGTTGCTAACTTCAAGGGAAAAGAAACTTCAGCCCTCAGGAGCCAGAGTCTGAAACAGATCCAGAGGTCTCCAGCATTTCTTTTCCGTAACCGAGGAAAGAACTTGGCTTTATAGAGTGGGCTGAGCAAACCCAATTAGTAAGACACTCACATTAATACAGTTTCAGAAGGCTAATATAAGATAAATGATTTTTCTGCATCTATGTTTTGCACAGGGGAGCCAAGGCAAAGCCCTATGCTGAGATCTTTCTTTAGGCAAAAAAGCATCAGAGAATTTGTCTCAGACTGCAGCATCAGTAGAACAGGTTATAAAACAAACTGACAAAATCACTCAGGCCAGATGGTATCTGCCCCGGAGTTCAATAGCAATCCGAGGGTGAAACAGTTGAACTATTAATATTAAGCATCTAATTTCTTGATTAAAATTGCTTTGGCACCAGGGTAGTGCAAAGTGTCATGATGATACAAGTGTATTTTTTAAAAGGGGATGGGGCTATCCAGACAGGTGTCACTGATAGATATCAAAATAAAGAATAAATAATAACGAGTTAGTGAACCAATGGATAATTATGCTGTGCTAGGAAGGAATTAATGTGATCTGTGTAAAGAGAAAGTAAGTCTCACACATCCACAAGGAAATAACAAAAGCATGGGGACAAACTATAGCCCAAAAGGCTTTCAGCAAGCTATGCGAACAAAAGCTTTCAAGAAAGCAAAGTTGCCATAGGACAAGAGAGGAAATTCTTTTCTGGATAAAGTCTGTAAGAAGGGCGGGAAGGATGACCTGGGTAACTACAGACCAGTCAGCCTCACCTCCAGCCCTGGAAAGGTGATGGAACAACTTGACCTTAGCACCGTCTCTAGGCATATCAAGGATAAGAAGGTTATTAGGAGTAGTCAGCATGGCTTTGCCAAGAGGTAGTCATGTTTGACCAACCTGATAGCCTTTTATGAAGACATAACCAGGTGGATGGATGGTGGCCATGCAGTGGACGTGATCTATCTGGATTTCAGCAAGGCATTTGACACCGTCTCCTCATAGGTATAACTGAGGAAGTGTGGTCTGGATGACCAAGTAGTGAGGTGGGTTGCTAATTGGTTGAAGGGAAGAAGTCAGAGAGTTGTAGTCAATGGGGCAGAGGCTAGTCAGAGGCCAGTGTCTAATGGTGTCCCTCAGGGGTCAGTGCTGGGACCAATGCTTTTCAATATATTCATCAATGACCTGGAGGTGGGATTATAGAGCGCTGTCAGCAAGTTTGCTGACGACACAAAACTGAGAGGGGTGGTTGACACACCAGACGGCTGTGCAGCCATTCAGAGAGACCTAGACAGGCTAGGCAAGGAGGAAACGTGACCTAGACAGGCTAGGCAGGGAGAAATCTTATGAAGTTCAACAAGGGCAAGTGTAGAGTTTTGCACTGGGAAAGAACAACCCCATGTGCCAGTATAGGTTTGGGACTGAACTGCTGGAGAGCAGCATAGGAGAAAGGGACCTGGGGGTTCTAGTGGACAGCAGGATGACCATGAGCCAGCAATGTGCCCTCGTAGCCAAGAAGGCCAATGGCATCCTGGGGTGTATTAGAACGAGGGTGGCTAGTAGGTCAAGAGAGGTCCTCCTGCCTCTCTATTCTGCCTTGGTGAGGCCACATCTGGAATATTGTGTCCAGTTCTGGGCCCCTCAGCTCAAGAGGGGAAACTGCTGGAGAGAGTCCAGCACAGAGCCACAAAGATGATAAAGGGAGTGGAACATCTCCCTTATGAGGAAAGGCTGACATGTTCCTGTGCGATCTACTGTAGGTGATCCTGCTCTGGCAGGGGGGTTGGACTAGATGATCTTCTGAGGCCCCTTCCAACTCCTAACATTCTGTGATTCTGTGAAAGTACTGGATCAATGAATAGCTTACTCAATGAATGTAGTTTGCTAGTGGGTTCCATGGGGATCAGTGCTAGGGCTAGTGCTTTTCAAAATATTATAAATTATTTAGAAAAGAAGGTTAATATTATAGTAAAAAAAATCTCAAAAAGATATTAAATTATTCAGGGGAATGAAAATTAAAAGCAATTGCAGAGCGATGCAGATGGACCATCTGATAGTAACTGACCAGGAATAGAAACAAAGATTAAATTAACTCCTAATAAATGTAAAGTAGTGCTCACGAGGAGAAATAAAAACAAAACAAAACTCACCTAAAACTAACAACCTCCCAGAAACCTTGAAGTTTTATACACAGCAGTGAACTTTGAACTGATAACCATCCACTGTGAGCGAGATGTTGGATTTGTAATGGAAAGCTTAAGTGGAACACGAGGACAGGGAGGCCATCACCACACCACTGCATGAAGTCTTGGTGTGCCCACATCCAGTACAGCTGTTGCTCTCCTCTCTCCCGATCCCCACCTCAGGGATGTACACTAGGGCTAGAAAGGGCGTAACAGAAGGCAACAGGATGATGAAATGTAAAGAAAGACTTCTACAAGCAGGAGGAGTAACTAAGACCAGGACTTTTCAGGCTGGAAAAGGCACGAGTGGGGAAAAAGTGAGTGGAAAGCAAGTGAGGGACTCTGTATAATGTCATGACTAGAAGGATGTGATATGCACAATTTAAGATTTTTGGAGATTCACTGACTGATGAAGATTAAAACCAAAAAGTTCTTTTAACTTAAAAAATAATTACTCTATAAAACTCATTGCATCTAGATGCTGTACACAATGAACTTTACATCAAATTTTAAAAATGTGTAAGTTCATGAAAACTGAACAATCTGTGCAGTGCTTTTGCATAAGAAGATATCATGCCTGACTTGGAAAATCCCTGAGCTACAAGTTATTAAAAGCACAGAGATGCACACTGAGTATTTTGCAGTGTTCTTATATCCTTTCCTAAGTAACTGCTACTAGTGGCTCTCCAAGACTGCTACATGAAGTTTTGTTTTTACTGACTACAGTTACTAAAAAGTCTGATACTTTTCCTAATAAAAATATAAACTTACTATGGATCACATCCACATAGACAGATTGCATGTGGCTATAACTTAAATACTGTGCTTATAAAATCTCCTCTATGAAAGTGCTCACAATGATCTGCAACATACAGTTGATGTACCTGTAACATGCTCCTCCCAACATAAATAATTCATTAGTCAGTGTGTTATATCATTATAATTTGTCCTTGGTCTGGTAAATTTTAGGCTAGTATCTACAACCCCTAAAGTGTCATATGTGACACCTATAATACTGAATCAAAATACTAGATAGAAAAAGATGCCCAGTTAACCACTGTTACAAGTGTGCATAACACCACATTTGTGCTCCTCACATTACCTTAGATATCTCTGAACTGTAATCCTGCAACACCTGTGGCACACATGGGCACACTTCTGTAGGCACCATCATAAAAAAAACGCTCAACGCAAAACTTGCTCTGAAATGTACACTGACATTCCTAATGAAACTGCCAGTATTTTTATTTCTTTATTTCCCAGCAATAACCTTCAAAACTGAAGAAAGGAGAGCTTTTTAAGCTGAGATTTACCACTTCAGAGTAGTGAACACACTTTCACAAATATGGCAGAAATCCTTAAGCTCCCTTGTCTTGCATGGAGCCAGCGTACTGAATCAGTGCTATGATTAAGGACAAGTCAAGAGGAAAACAGTTGAAGTACTAAGAAATAGTAATTTTTTTGTCCTGTTGCTTTGCATTTATTTATACATCTGCAGTGGGATCAGCTTAATTGAAAGTGCCTATAATTGAAAGTATCTATAATTGAAAGGTTCAGAGAATGTGAACCTTTTTCTGAATACTGCCCGTGACATTTGATGTGGAATTTTTTGATGTATGCTCTTCGTTATTAACTTAAAGCATTGTTGTCAGATGTGCTTTTCCTTTTGGGCTCTGATCCTGCAAATGTGCAAATACATGACAAAGAAATTTCACTGGAAGCAAATGATGAAAAATAATTGTTTGTGATCTAATGTTTGTTTCTAGCATGTCTCTGAAAGGGCTGAACTAACATTTACAGCCTATGAATGATTTAAGTAAGACATTTTCCTATAACATTAACAAATGAAGTAGCACAGAAGCAGCAGAAACTCTGTGAACAGAAAAAAATCCAAATGCTGATAAAACAGAACCATATTGCAATCAAAGTTGCATCCTAAATGAACCGCTGTAACAACTAATGCCATATGCTCTTGACCTCACTCAATATCCATTTTATAAGACAATGCAGTAAACAGCCATGACACAAACTGTTCCTTCCACAGAGAACAAACAATTTAGAAACGAGGCAATGAGGCAGACAGAAATAAAGTGATGAACAGGAAGGTAATTACTTAACACTACAACACAAGGTTATTTAAGACTACAAACCAGCTGAAAGGATTATATACACCAGCATGGACTGCTGCTGCACATTCAACTTTTCTTCACAGAAAACATACGTTCCCTTAGTAACACTCTACTTTGTCTTTACAGGTGCTTTTATTGCAAATCTTTCTTATCTGACAACACATTGATCAATAGGAAAGATTTACTCTCCTTTGCTGTCAATAACTGTACTCCTATAGTTCTTTAATCACCATTTCCATAGACAACCTGACTAGAAAATTTCTCTCCATTATGAAGCAATTCTTCAGGTATGAACTAAATGCAGTAATGAGAAATCATTAGTTTTATAGCGTCGTACAAACATGAGTGTTAGAATTAGTTAAATTGTTTATTGATTTGTGTTTCATCTTGCCTCCTGCTGACTTCTCAACTAAACTAAGCAACTGGATCCCACCACTCTTAGTAGGCCAAAGATTTTTTTTGAAAAATAAGAGTCTTACAAAAAGCCTTTACATAATAATGAAGAAAAGTATTTTTATCTGCAGTTAAGTGTATGGAAATCCCAGTGAGTAAATTTTAGACAGAGACACGCATTGCTGACAGCAATTAAATTTAAATACTCTGTTTATGGGTTTCCTCTATCTCTCCCATGCAACAGTCAAAGCACAATCAGACTGATTTTTGTAGTTAAAGCCAAACTCGTTATCTTCCTTTGAATCCATTTGTTCTTGAGGAAATGCCTCTCCCCTTCCCCAAAGTGTAAGATATAAAGCTGAAGGGAAGAGCTAGGGTACAGGGAGACTTTCAGAAGACGGAGGTGGTCATGGTCCTTACAGTCATCTGTCCCTTTACAGGGGACTTTGGAAGAAGTTGAAACTCTTTGTACTGGTAGGACTTAACCGGCAGGATGCGCTAAGGAGTCCCAGTCAGGACCAGTGCTTTGTGCAACGCAGACAGAGTTTTATAGGGAGTATCAGTGCAAGAAAACACAGCTAAAACAGTATACACAGGTGCAGTTTCACTGAAGACAGTGGTGAAAGCTATTACTTTATGGAAGAAAAAGGCAGGCAAAAGCAACAAATTCTAAGAGGTTTCTCGACCCACCACAGCTTCTTTACAATCTTTTCTTCCTCGTTGAGGTATTTCTGCCTTTCTTGCTCCACCAGGTTGCGCTGTCGCTGCACAGGATCTTCAAGCCTCTTCACTGTTTCAATCATTTTGCCATTGATTTCCAGCTCTGCTTTCTTCACCATTGCCCTCAGCATCTCCTGGTTCTGCAGCTGTTGCACAAAAGAAATCAACTTCAATTTTTCCTGCTTGAGTGACATCCCTGGCAACAGAATACATTGCAGAGCTCAGAAATAGGTTGGGAAAAACACAGCCCTGGAGTGGGAATTTTTGCCTTCTTCTTTCCCTCTTTAATTTTACCGATAAACATTATTCTGTGATGAAGTGTTGGGGGTGAGAAAAGCCTAAATCTGATTAACTTCTAATGTATATATCTAATTTCCAGTTGCAAGCTGATGAACAAAATACGTTGAAATCAGTACACCACCTTCAGTATAACTTCTGCAAGGACTGTGGCCCCTTTATTCTGCTGAGTCCAGCACAAATCAAGAATTAATCATGTCTCACGAGAATGTTGGAAGCTTGGCTTCCACTTTGCACATATCTCATACACTTACGCATTGCACTGCCCATACATGCCTAGTGGATAATCCCAAATATTAATGTCAAGGCTGGAACTGACTCCTCAGAATGGAACCTTTCAGTTTCTCCATTGGCAGAGCAAGGATTGTACCATTTGGTACAAACACACACCTTATTTTCAATATATAAAGCCTTCCTTACCCACAAAAAAACCCCAACCTTTATAATGTGGTAATTTTCTGAAAATGTAAATGTCACACCTTCTTTCTTGTTTTAGCCTTATGTTAATTCCTAAAGCATGCATTATTTTTCTTACTGCTATTAAGTCTGTAGAGCAAAATACAGCTAAGAAAGCAAACTACACTGTACTTTTGGGTAGCTCTAGAGCAGCTATGCCCCACACTCACAAGAATCAAACCTATTTAAGTCTCTGACGCAAATCACAAGGTTCAAAGTGATAAGCAAGGCTCCATCTAGTCACAGCTTTAGGATACAGGCAACATGAACCCAATGCTGTTAGCCCAGAAGCCATCTCATAACGTAAGATTTTAAAAAACACCTGTGTTAACTGGAAGACAAAGTTCCGGTGTTTAAATCTAGCAATCGAACTGTCAGCTGTCCTCTAAACATCCAGGCTTAACAGCCAAACCACATTTAGCATACAAAGTAAGCCCACTGACTAAGAAGAAGAATCACAAAAATGGGCTACCTACAAGACAGTATAATGTAACGAGACTTCTTTTTAAGTTGATTTAAGAGGATTGATGGGAATCAGGGGGGGAAAAAAAAAAAAAAAAAGCAAGCCTTTGTCCAGATCATTCTTTCCAGTCAGTATGGGAATTAGAGGAATAAGCTTAACTCTCCTCTCCTGACTCCTCAGTCCTTGTGCCTGACTCTGCCTTCTCCAGCGACACAGCTGTGATGAGAGAGAGGGTAACACTTTGCTGAAAGTGCACCAGGGGTCTGAGCTGTGACAAGCGGGAGGTGCTAGCTCAAACCTCAGCTCAAGATAAGCATTAGCAGTTAGGGAAAAAAAATGAAGCTGGAAAACATTTGAAACAGATTTATAAATGTTGTCAGCTGCTTTATACCAGACCGGATTCTTCTGAAGACACTGCATATGTGTATTTTTCCCCACTATGGGATTAATATTTGGATTTGATAAATTAAAACCTCTTACAGCAAGGCCAGCACAGCTATCTGAGGCACACATCTCTTTAATTGTACCATATTTTAAAGAAGGAAAACATAAATGACTGAATAAATGAATGAATGAGCATGTAACACTTCAGTCATACAGTTTATTCACAGCTCTTTAAGAAGTGGGGAAATTTGACACAGGGAAGTGACTTGGGAAGTGTGAAACAACAGATCCAAGGTCAGTGAGAAGGTCAGTAACAGAGTCAGACTTAAGTCTCAGGTGTCCAGAAGACCTCTGTGTTCCTCAGTTGGTAACAGCAACTCCCAGCAACACCAAAAATAGCATGAGTGAGGTTGTGCAGTGGCAGGTACACTTCTTACCTATTATGAGGGTGTATCTGGGATCAATATTTACTGTAGTGACACCTACAGCTAAGGCACTTATTGTGTCCATTTATGCAATATTAGAACAGTATTAGAAAGCTTCAGTCACAAAAGTTCATCCATTTCTGATAATAAGACTAGGAAATAAAAATATAACTTGGCAATATTTCAATAAGCTTGTATGTTGAGGACTCCCAAACCTCAGTGTTTGGAGTGAGCTCTTGAAGTCTGGAAAATGACTCATCTTGGTATCAAAGAGATGTTTTTCCAATTTCTACGAAAATTCATGCAATACTTGGCTAGTTCTGGTAAACCTGGTGCTGGCTATGCTTGGGGAATGGGGAAAAAAGATGAGAAGGGAGAGGTACAGATGGGTGCAGAGAGAGAAGAAAAGTAATCAGGGGAGAAGAATAAGTGTGGGTTTAATAATGGCACAGTCACCAGCCAAAGGACAACATAAAGCAGGTGGAGCAGGAGCAGAGGGGAAGAGCTGTGGCTAAGGAAGAGGAGGCAGTCTCTGGCCACTACAGCACATTCCATATCCTGGAACTGAACTTGATTCTTACCTTTCTTCTGCCAGCAGGTATCAGATCTGAGACTCCCTGGCTAAGTGCACACCCCATTTCTCCCTCAGACCACCTCCACCAGTTACTCCACCACCTCAAATGGAAGAAGCTTTATGGGTCTGCCAGAGTTATTGTGATTGTGCAGAGTAGAATTTTTTGTACTTCAAGTTTGTTTGAAAACAAGTCAAATAAACAATCTTAGACATTCACACCCGAAAAGCAACTTTGTTAGAACAGTGTTCAAGTTCCAAAGTCAAGTGCACAAAGGTAAGAAAAAGCAATGCAGGCTTTCCTGTCACCACCAAATGACAATTTCTTGCTAATTAGTTAACTCGACTTGTAACTGTAAGCGGTAACCGAACTGAAAGAAATGTACCTGCTTTTTTAGAATTCTAGCATCTTTTCCGAAATTCGTTACCCTCAGTTCTCACTCCCAGCTTCACCTAGCACTCCAGATACCTACTTTGTCCCTCTTCTTTGGCTACTGGTCCACCTATTACTGCTCTCTCACAAGCACCCCAGCACTGCCTCTGGCACCCACTTCAGGAATAAGCTGATTACCAGCTTAGTTCACTTGGAGCCAATTATTATACATAAGACAGATAACTGGTAAACCAAGTATTAGTTTGCAGCCCTGCTTCTCATTAGAAGACAAGCATGATCTCTCCAGTGGGAGCCTCCTAGGCCATGAGTCTGGCAGAGAGGCTTCTGGGCTACCGATCTCCCCACATCCTACAGTGCACAGCACAAACAGGGGCTGCCTGCAGCTCAGGATTGCTCTAGAATCTAATTATATCATTCCTGAAGCTTGTTGCCATACATGGATTAAACGTAGTTTCACCAATTATATAAAGCAGCTCAAAACATATTTGAATTTCTAATTCAAAGCTACACTTGTGAGACTGAGTATCATATACCATTTATGACAGTATTACTATTACATTTTCCATTCTTTCTGTAGCACTCATTTCCCTGCAAATAACACACTGAGTGAAGGAAAAGCATGCACACATAGAAATTCCTAACACTGAACCTTAATAATATCTAATTGCTTTCCCTTAAAATGTGTTCAATTACATGAAGGAAGGAATAGACAAAAAAAAAATCTAAGATACATAGAGGTTAATGATATATACCATGAACATGTACTCTACAGTTTGGTTCAAAGCTGCCACTGAGCAAGGGGGTACAGAAAGAATACCCCTACTGAACTTGCCATAGGCTCCAGTTTTACCAGCAACAAATGCATCCGGGACACAGGCTGGGTCATAGCCTATCTCTGGCCATGAGGAAAACTCCACGGCACCATGAAACTAGTCTTTCCTGAGTCTCTCTGAAAATCAGAGCACTTCAGGAAGATGCTAGTGGAGTAGCAAGAAGCATATCTAACCTCTAGCAACAGCCATGATGCAAGTGTCTTTGTTTCAAAAACCTCTGGTTAAACCACAGACTGAAACAGTCTTAACTTTTTGGTTGCATCTGGTAACATATACATTTAGCTGGTGTATGAATCAATACATCTGGAACAATTGCTGCTGGATATGTTTTAAAAGGAGGATTTTGCCAGCATAGATAAAGGCTACATGAATGAATGGGTCTTTTCCATCATGTGTTTCTCTGATTCTTTTAAGCAAATGAGTAAGAACTCACAGTGATAACAATTTAAAATTGAACCATAGACAGTATTAAATATAGCTTTATGTCCTGTTCTTGCTTCTTAGTTGTCCTGCCAACTTTTGTGCCTGTGGAATCATCTTTTGCAGTTCTTTGGAAGTGTTTCTTTTAGTCTGTCACTGTATGAAAAACTCACACAAACAGGAATAAACTGACTGCCAACCCACAAGAAACAGTGAAAGTGAATAATATGAAGTTCTGTTAAACATATTACATGAACAACCTGGAAAAATAGAAAAATACTTTTCCCTTTTACTTAGAATTATATTCCTAAAAACATAGCACAAAATTTTTTTCATTAGAAGTGTGATATTTCAACACTCTTCAGTTTAAGACACTGCCTGTTTCACTTGCTGCCCTACCAGCTGTGAACATTTTTTCAAAATAATTCCACTCATTCAGGAAAGCCATGACAAAAACTCATTCTCATGAACATTATTTACATGTAATATATCAACGCTTCCCTTGAGCTACAGCTTCTTCCATCTGACTATCAAAAATTTGCCCACTTTCTACTGTATGTTGCACCAAATTTGCTATCATGTTTGAAACAAACAAAGCCAGCCAGAGTTAATGAGTGCACACAGGGTATGTCCTTTTTTCCATCTCAAGACCTCCTTGGCAACAGTGATTTGTGCAGATGGTACAAGACTCTTTAATTCTGTGTGCCATGATGCTGTATGTGATCAGAAGCAAGGATACTGCCCTGGACAGGGCCATGGAGACAAGGTGCAGCTGGGGAATCGCCACCTCCTTGGTGAGCAGGCCCTGTGAGGACGATGCACTCACGGCCTCCAGCGCAGAACTGCTCTCTCCATCCCACTTCGTGAGGCCGCATGCTAAGCACAGCTGGTAACCAGACCAGAGGCGATTGCCAAGAGCTGCATTTGGCATGTGGAGTTGCAGAAGGACAGAGGAGCAGCAGCACAGATGTGGAAGGATACACACTGCTGATACACACTGCTGTGCCAGGGCAGAGATCCCAAGACAGAGTCTCAAAATTAGGTGGGGACCATGATGGCCAGCATGTAGGCAGCACTGCTAGGAACAGCTTCTGAAAGATGGATTTGCCATAGCAACATACTCATCCTGAACTGAAGACATAAGTACATGGGTGCTATGTCACAGGCAGAGGTCACCTGGCTGACACAACCGTTCGCTCCAAATACATTCTGCCAGATCTTCATTACCAGCAAATTGAACCTGGGACCTTGTCACAGCAACTTCAGTCTTGGACACATTTTCTTTACCCTGACATTTTTCTCACCCTTTTTTTCCCTTGCCCTGTGACTGACTCAGAATTCAATTTCCTTTAGTTAAGGGAGTGAAAGCAAAATGTCCTCTGAATTTTGATCTGTATTATCATTTTTCTGTTCTAAAATTAACCAGCAGATCAAAGGAGATCGACATAGTACTATTCCCATATTCAAAACCACCCTGGTTGTAATAGCAGTAGCTGTAGCCCTACAATACCAAACATGTGATGTCACTTTCCAGGCAAGGAGGACTGGCAGAGTACTGAAGTTTCCCCTGCTGTCTACTTTGTCTTACATGAAATTGCTTTACCTCCTTTTACTTCTTCTGAGACAATACACAGAGCTCTCCAGTTTCCAATTAAGTGAAGGGCTGAAGACCTATACAGCTGCATACGCTTATTTTCACAGTCTAAGATGAATAGCATATATTTACATTTGCAAGACAACGGTACACGTCAACAGAACATTTTAGTTAATGTTTCATTGTTGCAGGTTTTGAAGTGTTGATATGTGCTAGGAAGATATTGGCAAAATGTGAGTGTAAATAGGACACGTTTGCAGCAACTTGCGAAATATCTTGTTTTCTCGCTGCTCAAGCTGGCTATTCTTCTGGATTCTGTAAATACAGGACTCAGACTCTGGCTTAATGCATATCTACTGATCCTCAGCTACATTTGGGTTTCCTGACATCAAAGTTGTTTATTCAGGAATTTTAAAACCATCTCAACTGTAAACAGTATGGAGCAGGAACATGGCTTTTCCAGAATGTTTATACAGCACATAGCATAGCAGGGTCCAAACTGTAATCACAGACTTGATATTATTGTAATATAAATACAGCTTTAATGTCTAGAGTCATCAAAGCTACAACTGAAGCTTCTTCTCAGTATCTGAGCAGCAGTCGTTAAACTCAGCTAATTCTCATACTTCTAGGACTATGCAATTGTCTATGCTAGAGCAGAATGCACTTTTGTGTCTGTAATACTTGGGTCTCCTCTTTGCTAGAACTCTGCTACTGGCAATCACTCATGTTCAAAAGATAAAAGAGAGAGAAATAGGGAAAAAAAAAAAGCTGACAACCCACTTTCCCAGCATTACCCAGGTAAGCATACCTGTAGCTGCTTCATCTGGTGCAGCTGCAGCCGCAGATCCGACACGTTGCGTTTCATACCATGGAGGCTGACTTGCATCGACGGGGCTCCAGCAGGGTGATGGATGACAGCTGACTCCACAGCTGCCAATGCGTTCTTCCCCCCAGATATGCTGGCAGCGCCTGCAGTGAGAAGCAGCACAGGTTGAGTTCACCAACAGAGAAGGTGCCAACGTGATCCTCCCTCTGCCCACTGAATCCACATGTATTTCACAAAGATAGACAAGAAAAGAAAATTACAACGTTCATTACTGACAGGGGACTGACACCTCCTTATACAACATACTATGAGAGAAGACTGCACAATATCAGAGTTTGCCTGGGCTGGACCCTCAGCCACATCAGAGCACTGCATTACCACAGGAATGCTTCCTACCACACGCAGTGGAAGTGGGATAATAAGCTATAACTGCAGATTAAATAAGATATAACTGCAGATTACACAAAACATCAGGAAATCAAATTGGTGCTGAAAGTAGCTTCAGTATTGTCCTCCCAGGAGCCATCCAAGACAGCGCTGATGCAAATTCACAGGACTCCTGAGCTGCCTATTTGTTGATTAATTATCACCAGAGAGAGATTCAGTCCAACTGCCAAGCGTAGGGAAAAGGTTTCTAGAGAGAAGCTTGCTTTCCTGCTTAAAGTACAATTGTATTATTTCTGTCAGGTGTTTCCCAGAGCTACTGTACAAAACCAGGAGAAGGGAACTGAAATGATGGTGTGGCAGAGAACTGCTCTCCACCCGTGTTGCATCCACCCACTCCCCTTTATGCTGTCAGTTACTCAGTACTGTATTTACACAGGAACATAGCGCAACACAAGGAAGTGAGCCGAGCCGCATTCTGAGAATATCTGTCAGTGTCCTCACCAGATGTTCTTCATTAAGAAATGTTGTTCCTCTCACAGCATCAATGTCAAGCTTTTTCTTTTCATTTTCAAGTACCTGGGAAGAAGCTTTATTTACAGGGCAAGCAAATTCCAGCTCATCGACTAATAGCCATGTGCCAGCTTCTTCTAGCAATTTGCACTTACACGCCCACATTCTTCAAACTTTCTTTCTTATGTGTCTCATCCCCTCCTCACCATCGACAGACAAAATGACATACTGTCAGAAGAAAACAAAAAAATCTGAGGGAACAGAAAGTAACTAATGGATCTGCACAGGGATTTTGGACATCATTTGTTCCCATGAGCACACATTCTATCAAGGTCAATGAAATCAAACAGAAACTAGTACTGCGATCTTTTCTTTGCCTATTGAAGGCAAATTTTCAGTGCACCAAAAGGCATGACACATTCTTCTGTCTGGAATGAGTATGAACTGGAGTGGTAAGTTTTATCTCCACCCTCTCATCCCTAGTAGTCTTTTCCAAGTAGTAAGTCTCCAAATGTGCCCAAACGAGTACAGCTCAGCATAACAACACATAGTTCTTCCTTTTCCAACAGGTGTGGATACCTCAAATGTAACTTTTGCAAAATTCATCCAGGGGAAGCATTTTTAAAGGATGGAAATTACGCCAGACTATTTTTATCTAAAGAATTTCTGAAGAATCATGTATCTTGTTTTACCTACATTTGCAACTCCTGTCAGTAAAAGCGCAGGCCCCTCTGGCTGCACCCGTGCAATATATAGTGCACAATGCCATAGGTTTTCAGAGATATGCGCAAACAAAAAAGCTGTTTCTAGCCCAGTGCTGGCCGTTGTAATGCTATACCTTACCTAAACATGTTCCAGCTAGATCTGCTCTGTGCTTCAACAACAGCACTTTTCATTTCACTACTGAGCAAGCTACTGCACATTTTTGCAAATACTCCAGTACGATTCAATACTCTCGACTTTCAAAGAGCTGCTTAACAGAAAGCAACACTCAAGAAATAAACAGTCCTTGTTCACTGCCATCCTGTGCCCACTCCATGCTTCAGTCTAATATATGCTAATACTTATCTGTCTACACGTACACTGCAGTTTTTCCTACAGTCAAGAATCCATTTCCCTCCCACATGCACTATTTTTTCCATTATTTTTTTTTTTTTAGAAAAAGTTATGTAGTTCATAAACCCTACAGACAGAAACCACCAGAGAGTCTGAAAAATGTGGACAAGCCTCCAAGATTTCTGATCCCTAGCCACAAATCTGGGCTATTTTTTGAAAGCACATCTACCTTTCTGCTATTCTTTGCCTCAAACAAAATCTCCAAAACTTTGGCCCCCAACCCTGTGATGATGCAGCCAAGGCATGAATCAGTCCCCGCCAGTCTCTCCCCCATGCTGGACTCCAGTCAATTCACATATTTTCTCAGGAAGGGGTGCCGGCTTTCCTTTTAGTGCAGAGGGACTGTGATCTGCTTCTGTAAACAATAAATGTCTCTGACTCTCTACAAAGCATCTCTCCTCCTCTGCTGCTGCTCTGGCCACCTCTTCTTACCATTAGGTACTCTCAGCTGCCACAGTGTCCCTGTTGCAGAGTGTGCTCGGAGACTGTGAAGCGTAACATAGGACTCCCAAGGGTGTGAAAAACAACCAAAGACACCGAGTGAGCATGGGAGCAGAGAAAGGATCAGCAGCTGATTTCTCAGAGCTACATATTTTCACCAAAAAGGAACGAAAGGGCAGCAGAATGAGGGGCTGCTTCATCTAGAGAGTATAGCTTGCTTTTCAAAATAGTCCCAGGCTGTAGCTTTGTGATTAGATGTGCAGCCAGATGGACTGAAGGGAAAGAAACAGCACTGGCTCTCAGATTTTTTTAAATAAACCCTTGCTGGACTGAGGTAAGGGGGCCTGAATGCAAAATCTCTCTGTAATTCCCTAATGCTCTGGACAAAACACAAATGTTAACTTCTTTTACAAAGGCTAATGAACTAAGCTGCCATTTTTAAAGTACAAAGAAAACTAACGTGCAGGAAGGGGAAAGGTTTGCTATTCACCCAGGCTCAGGAAAGTAAGGAACACAACTTCCACTCCCTGACGCTTTTGCTATGGTTGCAAAGACATCACTCTCCTTTTGTTTTCCAGATTTTGTTTTTCTTTTTAAGTGCTAAGACTTTATTTTGAAGCAACCTAGATAAAAGGGCCATCGGAAGACACCCGGCAACGTTTCTTCACAAATTACTCATTTGCTTATGAAAAAGTCGCAACATTTTCAAGCACCATTTGGAGAGACGTGACAGTTACTTAGTTCTCTTTCCATACAGTTCAAATAGGCAAAAAGCAATGTTAAGGTTGCAATTCCGTCATTAACAAGCTGTTACGGCCAAGTACTAAAGCAACCTTAAAATAATAAAATTATATATATATGTAAGTATTACACTAATAGATATATATAAATAAGTATTTTTAAAATCACATATATATATATGTGTGTGTGTGTATGTATTAGTGTGAAACTTCGCCTCATTGATGCAGAATGAATTCAGGATATATTTTACCTGCAAACTCTGACAGAGTTGAAAGACTGGTGTGACTTATCTTTGAATCTGAGACAAGCAAGCAGATTTGGACAGTATTTTTGATTCATTGATCATCACAGCACAAGTCATGCATGTGAAAAAGGCAAACAGATACACATGGATGACAAGACAGTTCACAGAGGAATAAAATCTGAGCACCACATGTCTAATACTTCTCCCTGCTGCCATCTCCTTCTCTAGGTTTGTACTGGTGGTGTTAACACAGAAAGACGTACCTGATCCCTCTTCAGGAACTACTAAAATGTCATTCACAGAATTACAGAATGTTAGGAGTGCGAAGGGACCTCTAGAGATCATCTAGTCCAACCCCCCTGCCAGAGCAGGATCACCTACAGTAGGTCACACAGGAACGCGTCCAGTCGGGTTTAGAATGTCTCCAGAGAAGGAGACTCCACAACCTCCCTGGGCAGCCTGTGCCAGGGCTCTGTCACCCTCACAGTGAAAAAGTTTTTTCTAATGGTTCTGTGGAACGTTCCTTGCATCCGTTGCCCCTTGTCCTGTCACTGGACATAACTGAGAAGAGACTGGCTCCATCCTCCTGACACTCATACTTTATGTATTTATAAACATTAATGAGGTCACCTCTCAGCCTCCTCTTCTCCAAACTAAAGAGACTCAGCTCCTTCAGCCTTTCCTCATAAGGGAGATGTTCCACTCCCTTCATCATCTCTGTGGCTCTGTGCTGGACTCTCTCCAGCAGTTCCCTGTCTCTCTTGAGCTGAGGCGCCCAGAACTGGACACAATATTCCAGATCAAGGCAGAGTAGAGGGGCAGGAGGACCTCTCTCAACCTACTAGCCACCCTCGTTCTAATACAGCCCAGGGTGCCATTGGCCTTCTTGGCCACGAGGGCACATTGCTGGCTCATGGTCATCCTGCTGTCCACCAGGACCCCCAGGTAGCAACAAGGCAGCAACTAGCAAAGAACTATTGCTTTTTTAGTAATCTGTAATAAAACTGATCTCAGTTTAATCAATTAATTCAGAATCTATCAGTCTCACTCCTTGATGAACAAAAATATGGGAGAACAGAGAATAGGTTAGCATTTCTAAGCATATTTGTTAGTAATGGCAAGGAGACTCTGCCTGATATGGTTTGTTTATAGAGTCACATGCTGTTCCTAAGAGTTCCTTGATGTCATTCACTCTTGATGAACTGAAGAAGGTTATAAGGATTCAGTCATGGGATTTCTCCTAACATTAACAGAAGAGACATAGCCAGTCTGTGGAAGGTTTCTACTCTTTAAACCCATCCCCCATGAAAGAACTGAGCCTAAAGCGATAAAACATAAGAAATGCAGACAAGCGTGATCCTTACAGGCTCATCTTCCCCAGTGCAAAAAGCATTTTTATTCAGGCTCTCTAATATTTGAGGTCAAAGAATCTATGACACACTGGTGAAGCAAAAACATGTTAAATAAAACAATTAGGTTTATATGAAATACAAAGCAGAGCATTCACAATCTAGTTTCACAGAGTTATCTAGGATTTAGAAATTTGGGGTTCTTTCCCTCCACAGGTGAGCTAGTTCCCTATTTTTTGCATGAAAGTCTCCTATCATTGGAACACATACTATAAAATACAATGTTGGTTCAACATTGATGAGCCAATTTTAACCTGCACAGATGTTTTATTGTTCAGGATGGGAAGCAATTCACGTTTCTGCTTACCAGTGCTCTAGAAAGGACTGCTCAATCAACATTTTATACCACTTTTTCTTGCAAATAGACTTTGAAATTGCTAAAACTGGTATCTCAGTGCACAGTCGTCAAGTGGAATTGTATACTAAGAGAGTCGACTGTCTAAATGGCTATACTTAACAAAACTACAGTCAGCAGAAGTGTTTCTAGATGCTGCTGGCATGTTTAAAGCCAAGCATATTTACTAAAAGGAGAAACATTCTGTAGTATATTCTGGCAGATTGCCTAATTTTCAAGAAAGTAAGGATTGCGTTGACTTATTAGACCCTGTCACACACAATTTCAAAAGCAGAATAGCAAAATATTCTATTATACAGGCCTCTTTCATCATACAGCAGTCTTCAGTAACAGCTGATGTGGGTTACAATACCATAGTATATTGAGGTCAGCATCGCACCTTGCTTCCCTTATCTGCTACAATTTAATTTTGTGGCTGAGTCATGCTGGAAGGACAGGATTTAGGGATGTGGATGCTGGAGTTATCACTGTATTTCAAAGCACTGATAGGGATCCTTGCAGATGTCTGGCTGCACAGCTGGCCCCCCTGCCCTATCCCTGTCTCCCAAGTGATCAGAAAGGCATCCATTGCACAACGCTGGTCTCCTTACCCCCATGCTTGACACGTGCATGGCCATGTGACAAAGTCAATGCCTCTGTCAATACAGGACACATGCTGATTTGGTCTTTTGACAGTAAATTATACACTGCACTCTCCACCCCACCATGCTTAGATGTGCAGTTGTTAGATGTAATTTTGTCATTTCAGGGACATGCGTTCAGTCATATGATAAGGTGGTGAATGCGTCTTTGGGAACAACAGTGGCAGTGGCAGGAAATGGTTGGTCAGATAAACTACACTATCCTGGTGGGCTGGGCATGACTGAGCGACCTCCTGAATCATTGAATAATTTAGGTTGAAAGGGATGTCTGGATGTTATCTGGTCCAAAGACCCACTCAAAGCATGGCCCATATAAGACAGGATCTCCAACTCAGTGCCTCCCACAAAGTACTTATCACAATTAGTTCAAGCACCAGGGAAGCAGAAAGGCTGAAGAAGAAATATGATACAAAGAGGAACACGAGACAATATGTGTGTGGGTTTTCATGGTTTCATAGATACTTTCTGTGAGATGAGGCCTGTGCAAGTGGGAAATACCATAAATTCTCTGTGTATAACGACACTGAAATAGGGAAAAGTCCAAGAGTATTTTGCAGTTGTTTTGAAAAATTATGGACTTTTCAGTAAGTTATCTGAAACTAATAAATTACAACTTATTTCTTCACAGACTTAAGGATTGCTCTCCCTATTCAGGGACCAGGAGGAAGGGAAGAGTTGGAATGGGACCAGAGAATGGCTTGGAAGCAAGGCTCCAGTACCAGGATTTTACCTCTCTCTTGTGTATGCTTGATACTTTCCAGATCTGGTTTGTTTTGCACGGATTAGGTGGGCATACCATATTCCAGATAAACGGGAATCCTGAACGTGAACTAACAGCTCCAACTGAAAGGCTAGTTAAGAGCATAATACATTTGCTAATGAATGTGTGTGGTTTACTACCTGCCAGAGCATAGACCTCCTTGTGGGAGCAGCACTAGCAGGAAGTAGGGAACTGCCTTTATTTGCATTCAGTGCTTGACAAAGGATGAAGAGGAGGCATATAAACACATGCACACCCTGCAGACATCTCCAACAGCAGCCCATGCACAAAGAGCGCCAATTACATAGAGATCTTCTTTCATAACAGCCTTAACTTCATCTCTCAAACACTTAACAGCTCTCCAAGTGGGAAGCTAAAATAAGACGAGCTCTTACTGGCTTCATAATTGATGCTTGCTTAGAACAGATTGGGTTACTAATAATTAGTAACAGATCAATACAGCTTCATTAGGGAAAGTGCTATCTTGCTGACTGCTAAATTCCTTGGTGTCATCACAACCATAGCACCCTACTGACAGAAGAACCTTAGAGAAAATTTCAGGTGACCAGAATAGGAATGAAATATTTAGCCTCTACAGCAAGCTAGATACATCTGAAGTTAATGCCGGATATATACTATAGATTGGATGAGTCACTGGAAAATTCACCATATGCAGAGACTCTGCTCATTTAAACCATTCATTCCAAAGACCATCTCAACCTGTCAGAAATCTCTCTTAACAAAGATGTGATCAACTCCCATATCCTGAACTTAAACTTCAGTTCTGACAGTACAGCTATGGGAATTTAAGCAAATTTGACATTTCCATACGCTGGGATGTTAGCAATGTTAGAGCTATTCATATACCTGAATAATTGTTAAATTGAAAGTGTGTTATCTTACCTGCAGTGTCTATGTTGCTCTTGCTGGACACAATTTTCAGCATCATCTTCTCACTAAATAATAAAAAGAAAAATCATAATTTTAACATACTAACAATAAAAACTAGGGAATTTTATAATCATCAAATTAAATGGCCTTGTCTAGCATACATATTTTTAATTTAAATCACCAGTAGCTTGTCAGTTTGTTGTTTTTTCTTAGACCAGCTTTTAATACAAGTTAAGCAAGGAATGGAGTATAAGCGGTAGAAAACACAGAGATGTAGCTACACTAATTCTTTCTTAACACGAAGAAGAGTAACGCAGTTAATCTCCATCTATCATTGGCATATTCTTCCTCTCTGCCTAGCATTCTCATGAGGATGATAAAAATATTTTAAAATGACTGAGTATTCAGGAGTTTTTTACTATTACATTCAGACACTATTTTTGTTGATTGATTACTGAAATCATTACAGAGAAACAGATTTAATGAATTCTTTTTTTACCTAGAAGCATCTTTGCTATTACTTGTATTTGGCCCTTTAAAAAGCGCAGACTGAACAAGACCAGTTAAACTGGCAATCTGTTTCTCCATGGCTTGTATCCTCTCTCTGTAAGACAAGAGAACCGTTTGTTAAAGCCAGATATATTTGCTTTCAAACTTGTTTTTCTAGGTGAATGATTACCACAGGATTGGAAAGACACTACAGAGTTTGTGCAAAGGCCCATGGGTACCTATTTGCATATACCTTGTTGCAGCAGCTTACCGCATCTCGGTTTGGACAGCTTTTGCACGATAACAGACAATAAAAAAGACATCTGTTTGGTTAAAAAAGAGCAAAACAAACAACTACCCAGATAATAAACTTCTAACAATCTCACGAGACAGCCATCTAAACCAATCAGTTAATGCCTCTTGGAACTAATGAAAATATTTTTTTCAGCATTACATATATTTTTTCTTTTACCTACGCTAGGCTAATAGTTTTGCCTGCATATAAGGTTTCAGGATTAAAGACTTAACACTTCTTGTTACTATTTTTACTTTCTCCAAACTCAGGATTTTTGCCTGCAAAGCATTTAATCTGCCCAAGCTGACTACTTTCCAGCCCAAATCCTTTGCACCTGACATCACAACTGTTTGCTTTGGAAAAGAGAGCAATGTCACAGACAGGCACAGGATACCAAATGCAGGCTATACAGCAACTTTATCATAAAACAGACTTGCTTGCATCCTGAGAAAGGCCTAAAAAGCAGAAGAAAAGAGATGAACTGTATGCAATAGGTATGGCAAATAATTTCCACAGGTACCAAAGACCACTAAACAACAATGACTTTTTTGATAGGAAGGCTAGCATTTGTGTATTTATCCATTTACATAAATGCATACATTAGTCAGGTACTAGCTGACCTTCTTGGGGGGCTCCAAAACAGTCTTTTGCTCACACAGGTGCCTACTTTAACATGCCAGTACGTCAACGACACAACACAGCACAGGCACACATCCACATAGGACCTCAGACAGGACCTTCTGAAAATGTGTCCGTATATGCCAGTATTTAAGTGACTAGGGAGACACGCAAAAGCAAATGCTAACAACAGGCTGCAATTTTGGAAGATGATTGGGAATAAAACTTCTCAAAAAGCGAGTGATTAAGACCAGCAGTGACAACTGATGACAGAAGATGGGACAGACACAAGCAGCTCGACTCAGCCTGCTGCAGGGACACGTGGCAGCAGCTGAGCTCCAATTGCCTTTTGGTGGCCAAAGCAGTAATGCCAATCAAAAACTGCCATATAAACGCAAATGTACCAATACCAGGCAAAAGCAAGCTGACATGATACAAAGAGTAACCAGCTTGTAGCCAGCCAGATAATCCAGGCTAATTATTTCATTCACACTCAGGGAATGAAATAGTGGTTTGCTGGGATAGCACACAGATACCACAGCCCGGAGAGACTCCAAGACACCCAGACATTGAGAAAACAGGGCAGCAAAACAGGTGGTGAGATGCTAACAGATGCAAGGAGGGAAGAAGAGAGTGCTCAGTCCCCAGCCGGCAGACGGGTTCTTACTGCGATTTATTACAGCGTGCGCATCTTACTTTTCTGTCTTCACGTTGAAAGGTATTTTGAATGGTGATGAGATGACTAGTGAATCTGACCTAATTCATTTCAAACCAAGAAATATGTTACAGAATTTCCACTATTATAAGTTTTAAAATAAGAAATTGATTCAGGCTACAGTAACCTTTGGAACAAAAACAAGTACTAAAAGCCTGGGATAAATGTACTCTAACAAAGTTTAATGCAGCATTTTTGACACTTAATAATGAAAACTTTTTTTTTTTTTTCCCCCCAGATAATCATCACAAAACCTTCCTGGAACTAAACTCAATTGGAAGTCTATCTGTTTTACCAATTCATAAATATGATGTTTTTTCCATCCCACATTCGATAATCTGGAAACAATTTTCTGCTTCAAAAGAGATTATGGCAACACAAAGCTGATCTTGTCCTTTGCCATGAAATCTAGGAAAATATGTTGTTAAGAGGGAGAAGGATGTTCGAGAGATAGGAGATGATGAAAAACGAATGAAATACTGGAATCAATTGTACAGAGCACTTTAGTTTTCATATGGTAAAGGCATTAAGAATGTGAAGAATCCACATGTGCTCTGGAGTTACTCCACTAAAGATGAGGCAGGATTTCTCCTGTAATCGCTTCATTGTAATACTCAGACTAATTATGGCCACCAGCACAAAACATTTCAAAAACAGGTGTCTGAAAGGAGGCACCTTTTAGGCATCAAATAAAACAACCTGGTTTTCAGATACCTGTCAGTCTGACTGGAGGCGGTGGGAGGCAGGGTGCTTCAGCACGGGCAGGGAGGGACGTGGCCAGCCTGGCAGCGGGGCTGTGTCCTGGGCTGACGTGGCTGGAGGAAGGGTGGCCCAGCTCTGCTGCCCGACGCACTGCCCCTGAGGAGCAGGGATGGGCTCTGCAGCCACCCCTTCCCCTCTGGCTTCCCTGTGAAGGGAGGTCCAGGGGGACAAAGTGAAGGCTTTCTTCAGCGTATGCCAGGCTGGGGTCTATCAGGGATGCCAGCGCTGCTGTGACAGTCGCACATTTTTGTTTCTCAACATTCTGTTGTTCCCAGGGCATGGGGCAGGCCAGCGCTCTGCTGACATGGGGTGGGTCAGGGTCCCCCTGGATGGGGCAGGCCGGGACGCTGAGCACCAGGAGAGAGGGTCAGGCAGAACAAAACGCAGTGGTGCCTCTGCCGCCAGTGGTAGCACAAGAGGGCTGAGCAGCAGCTCTGTTCCCAGATTAATTTCCCAGATAAATCTGCATCTCTCCACCACCCAGGAAGAGCAGGGAGGGTCCCCTCTGCAGCAGTTAGGACAGAAATGGCTGTTTTATCAGCTTGAGCACAGAAAGGAATTGTTTCCCATTGTTCTCCTGTGAATGCTGGGAGAGTCAGAGGTGGCAGCATAGTAGGGGAGGAAAGGAGGGGAGCAAGGTCAGAAGCAACTCCCAGCTCTAGCTGGCCTTGCCATCAGACTTGGCTTTGGCTTGTCACAGAACTTGGCTGGCAAAGCAGGCACAGGGCTACTTGCCAGCCCCGTTCTCCCTGGCAGCCTGATCCAAAGCCCTGGCCCTGGGTATGTCCAGGTCACTGGGGCCCTGCCTTAGCACCCCTCTCCACAAATTCAGCAGAAGCAAAACAAGCTCTTGCTTCTCCGGAGACTGTGCATTGAGACACCAGATTTCATCACCAGATTTCTTCCTTTCAGCTTCACTGAGGTTTCATGTCATTCCCTATACTGCAATTAACTGGAAGTAATCTCAGGCAGTGCACAGCGTATTGCTGAATTGGTACCCACTTCTCACAGCAATGCTATTTAAGCATGACTTGCATGGTCCTTCCCTTTCCTGGGGACATCTTTAATATACACATCACTGAGAAGATACTTCATACAGACACAAACCAGCAGCGGGCTGTGTAACTCTTCATTCATGTTCCTGTCCGACCCTAGGCCATGCAGTGCATCATCCATAACAGACACATTTGAATACCAAGTTTGGCACCATGATCTAATTGGCAACCTATCCTGGAGAAAGATTTTCAGTGACTTCATATTTTATAATTAAACCCCGAGTGAAGTCTGTATAGCAATCAAAAAGAAGGACAGAGACAGGGAAAAATACATTTCTTTCTATATTACCCTTTGAGAGAAATATGGAATTCTTTTATCTCACTGAAAAAAGAAAGGAAACGAGCATGTTGTTTCCCAAAGGCTTCCCTAGAACCAAGTGAAAGTGGCACAGTCAGACTTTCCCCCAAAGTCCCCCCAAAACAGCAGAGTGGATATCCTGGAAGGGTGTGAAGCAAACACCAGCAGAACTCTTCCACGCTCTGCTCTCCT